TCATTGTTAACACAGTTTTATATTAGGTCCTAGGCTTTGTCATTTTATGTATAATCATGCATAAAAGAAATGACGGATGTAAATGTAAAAGTATTTAGGAAATTATGGAAATTATTCAAGTTTTCTTGTTTTTCAAGTAAAAACGTTCATATATATATATAACTGCAGACCGACAACTGTATTGGATATCGACAGCTAGCTAAAATATTAATGTTAATTATAAGTGTTGCCTGTATCAATTCACTATCTGTGTGATAGGATTGCTTAAGTTGTACAAAATGTCCTTGTCCCGAATATTTTGGTTACTTTTATGATTTAAAGAACAACTGTCGCCGCACTACCTGTGTTTAAAATATCTAACAAAGGTGACATAAGAATTATTATTATTATACAATAATAAGTTTTTCTTTGTTTTCATGCAAAATACTCCAATTCCATTGGTCAATTTATTCTTTTCTTTCTACTATGAGAAAATGAAAAAAAATAACGACGCCCACCGGTACTACTTTTTGAAATGTCGACAACTTCAAAGAAAACATGATGAGGGACCCCCGCTTTGATCACCGGGTAAATTCCATTGGATTGCAATGTTCTGACATGTGGCTCAATGAATGTGAACATACTACAATTGCAATGAATGTAAAACATTATAAAAAATAAAATAAAACTACCTGTCTAGAAATAAAAAATATATAAAAGAGTTTAGGTATTTTTTAACATCGTCTGCTCATCAACAATAATGGCAGGCGCACCAACATTTAACATCGGCGAACCTGTGATATTTTGGGGGGTTTCGGACAGAATTGCGACATTGATGAAGTGGAAAGACAGTTAATAGAAGATGATGAACTGAACAATATTTTACTAGACTTACTTGACATCGGGAATTCTGCTAGCGCTTCAACACCAATATCGCCGGCTCAGGCAAAGACAGAAATGGCCAGAACAATGGAAGTGTAACAGCACCCAGTGACAGTTGTCAGACAACCATCCCCCACAAGCTCAACGCTTTAAACGACTGTCGGAAGAAGACTTAAAAAGTAGGGAAGATTCCCGACAGTCAAAATCTACCAAGAATAACACGAAATGGGGCATCAAGGGGTTTCAAGGTAAGTTTACAAGTTTTGATTGGGATGGTGGGGAAGGGTTGGGAGGGGGTGAAATGACACAAATATTCTTAAACCCTGGCCGGGACTTGAACCCGGATCTTTCCCAAAAAATGGGAATACTTTGCATTAAGCTACCAGGATGGCGAACAATCATGCATCATCTTCACATTTATTTTTGATTTTTTTTCTTCTGTAATTTTGTTGTATTTTTATTTTTTGAAAACTTTTAAAACTGGGCTATTTTTTTTAGAATGGAGCCGACAAATGGTGGGGAGGATGTGGACCTTAGCTCCAAAGGTGTAGATGACTTGTGTCTAAAACTACGACAATTCTATGCAGAGGTCACACCAAAAAAAGGCCAAGAATACCACAAAAATACATTGGTAAATGTTCGAGCAGCCATTTACAGACACCTGCATGATATAGGCAGGTTAGATGTTGACATTGTCAGAGACAGATCATTTAAAAGTGCCAACACCATGCTAGATGCAAAAAAGTAAAGGCGAATGTGAGGGATGGCACTTCAAACCCGACAGACAACAAATAGATAATATGCAAAGAGGACATGGTCAAAATAAACACTTACCTCACAGAAGAAAATCCAGTCCTTCTACGTTACCTGGTCTGGTTGAACTTGGCAATGCATTTCGTCAGGAGGGTCCTCGAATTTCACATACCGCGGTCGTTTGAATTTCTCACAGACGAAAATGACAGGGAATATGTTGTACCGAACCATGAAACATACACACACAGCACCATCACACATAGTACTAATATTAATAATACCCGGCCTCCTCTGCTCCGGATGACGCAATATATATAAAAAAAATATCTCGTCGTCAGAAAGCTACATCACACACAGTGACACTCGCCGACATTCAAAACGTGTGCTCCAACAATCATGTCAACCCGCCGGTCACTATGAATCCACAGAATTCCATGCTCACTGTCCCACAAGTGTCTTCCTCGCAAAGTTTTGTATCTGCTGGCCTAATGTCAAACTCATCATTTGCTCACTGCGTGTTTAACTTCAGACAGTAGTAGCCTCGTGTGCTCTCCGCTTCAAACTCGCCAAAATGGCCGACTCGTTCCGGTCCAGCTCTGAACAGCTGAGCGCGCGCGACGTTGCCTAGGAACCAAAAATTACAAACTCTGTTGATTTTGAATTATTGGGCGCAATAAAGTGCCGTTATTAAAATGATGTTATTAAATTTTCTTGATTATGTTTTCTTTTCACAACATTTAATGAAATTAATTATAAGCATTGAAGTTATTTTTTTTTTATTTTTGTCGGGGTATGAAAAGATATTATTTGCTTTTATAATTACCTTATCACCCCTCCTTACATTCTCCTTGAACCCATCTTTAAATTCAACAATATGCAGAAGTAAAATAGACTGGAAAAGGAAGAGGATACATAGCCGTTAATATGATGCTCTCGGATATGTTGCCGTCTTGTTAGAGCAGTTACATGTAGGCAATGCGTGTCGGAGTACGCAGCAGTCATAGCAACACCTGCAACGTTGCTGAGAACGACAACAAAAAAATTAGTACCCATCGAACGCTTTAAAACTGTGGAGGAGAGTAGTAGGCAATAGGAGCGAACATAATTTGTGAATGACTCTCAAAAGTTAAAAAGAAGCTTGATGTACGCAACATGAGCATGAATGAAAACAGATATATTGCATCACTTCTTACCTACAAAAGATTATTCAGGTGTTATGAAAACCTGTCAACACTTCTGGAGTAGGCCAGCCACATCTGTGAATGCCTCAGATCCATTTGAGAGGAGTAAATGTTAGTAAAGTATTACACCTGTGAGTGTCTCAGATCCATTTTAGAGTAGTCAGTGTCAGTAAAGTATCACACCTGTGAATGCCTCAGATCCAATTTAGAGGAGTTAATGTCAGTAAAGTATCACACCTGTGAATGTCTCAGTTCCATTGTCAGTGTCCGGCATGGTCACCAATAGCGCATCACTGTCTCACATCAAGCAAACCTGACTCTACTTTCTTAACCACTTTCTTTACAGACGGCGATCCCGGCTTCTTTTGCGAAGCCTCCGCTACCAGCAAAACACATGTAAAGGATGATTACACAAACGAATACAGTGTCCATCTCTATTGCAACCAACAAGAACGTAAGAAGCCTACGATACGAATGTTTGTTGGTCTTGTAGTCGATATAAACTCGTCAACACCGCACTATAAATGTGATTCATTCCTGAAGGTACATGTGAACCACTCTAATGAGCAGTGTGATATGATTGAGTCTTTTACCAAGTCAAAGAGCTTCTTCACGTTACTGAAGAATGTACAATCTCCCACAGGCATAATGATGTTAAGCGTTCATGCATCGAATGCTTACTATATCAGCCACAAGCAGGAAACACATTCAGCTTTGTTCTCACACAGTGTCAGGGTTCATGACTCATTATAAATTTTAAAAGAAGTACTCCTGTATTTTGGTGTTTTTAATTTATGTAACTTAGGGATGTATGCGCCTACCTGTAACTTTTAAAAGTAGTTAAGATCGATATGAATTTCAACATAGAAGGACGAAACAGCTGTATGATACAGTGGAATTCAAATTTGGCATTCTCTTTCAACTTCAAAATTGTATAGGTGCATTCAAATGTGTTCGTCTTGTGTTCATCTTTCAAATTTTGCATTTGAGATAAAACACGGTCGGCACAGTCTCTATTCAGTATATGAATATTGAATGTCTGTTTGTTTTCCCCTAAACCTTTTTTGGATAATTGTAACCTTATATGTTTTAACTCATTTTATTTATTAGTGCACCAAATCATATACTAACGAATAACACGTTAAGATTGGAAACAACACTTTTCAGTTCTTGAAACTGAAGTCATTTGGTTTGAGTTCAGCATTTATTTTTGTGGTATATTTTCTATAGTGGACGAGAAGGGCAACCCCAGTCCGAACCCCCACCCCAAACCACTTTGTTATAGATCCGCCATTAATACCATGTGCAATAAATATCTATTCTAAATATGCTGCAGAAAGTTATGGAACCTCAACTCTTTCATCACCAATCAAACCCGTTGAACATCAAAGAAATAATTACAAAATTATGAGTAGGATACGATATTGTGAACAGTCTGAAGAAAATGACGCCCCCTGATTTTGACCTTGGGGATATGATCTTGAAGGAGGTCATGACACACTTTTGGGATATAAGCAATAATCTCGCAAAGTTTGGTTAAAATCTAAGTAAAGGTTACAAAGTTATAAGCCGGAAACGATATGCGGACAGACAGATGATCAGACAACGTCAAACAATAATACGTTCCACATTAAATGCGGGCGTATAAAAAAGAACATGAAACTTTGGTTATTCACCCATTAAACATTTTATTTATCGTACACTATATGTAAAACACTTTATTAAATTTCTTTCAGAAATTGTACGGATACAATTTATTATCTAAAGGCAAAAAAAGCAGGCATAACACACACATAGTTTCGTACAAAAAGGCGGAAAAATTGAAAAAATATATACTGTCAGGGTACTTTATTTAGCGCACTCAAATTTGTGTCCATCATAGAATTTCAACAGATTATTGCATTGATGAATTGGCAAATCAATTTACAAAAACTTTAATTGTCGCAATCAAAATATAGCGCAATATTTGAATAACAAAAACAATAATAGCGCTAAACTTGTACGCTTACAGTACATTTTTTTTTTAAAAAAAATTTAATCCCATTTATTTTTATCTTCATCTTACAACAATGTTTAAACAGATAAGTGTTGTCTCCTTTCTTAATTATGAGAACTTTTTGTTGGATAAAGTTTTCATAAGAGTTGTTTCCTTTCAAATGAATATATATAAATGTGTGGAATTATTTAAGAATATAACGGCCTCAAACTTGTGCAATCGACTTCAGATATATATATACAACCAAAATGAAACATAATTTAACACAACCGAAACAATTTAGCTGAGCATGCCTACAGGTTTTCCCATCAATTTTTTCTGATGAGCTTTCTTTTATAAAATATACTTTATCTTTGTGCACTAGGACACAATATCACTCTCCGAATATGGTATCAACAATTTATTATATGAGACAATTAATTGTACATGTAGAAGTTAGTTAGTGAACTTCTATAAAAAGATTGATTTATCCGATAGAGAGTAACGCGCTCGACAGCATTAACAGTAACTGTTTCGAGTTTTGTGTTCATATTGTGAAGCATTTTTGTCAGATTCGTTACATACACATTACCCAGTAACATTTCTATGTCGTATTGTTGACAAACCAACACGCACATGTATACTAGTGTATAACCGGTGTAACTATAATTAATACCGCAGCATTGGAATGTTCATACACGATATGCCAATGATAACACGAAAATATGGATGGCATGTGTATAAGGATTGGTCGAGGGTCATTAAAAAATCGCGTGAACAAAAACGTAATTCAAGCGCAAAAGTTTTGCAAAAAAAAGAAAGATTAACACAGGTCTTCTGCTTCATTGACGACATCCGACATGTACTTTTAAACCAAAGACAAGCCATGGCCATGTAAGATTGATAAGCAGAAAACAGATGGACAGATGTAAATCATTGCCAAACACTGTCAGTATCAGCATACAAATTGGTGTATCTTTATGGTGTTAAAGTGACGTAATGCAAATTAATGGAACGATGACATATAAAAACTCGTATTTACATTGTGATAAAACACATATGGAATCCAAAAAAATAGTTGAGACATTAGAGAAATTAAAACACATTTCAACTAACTATCTGATCGCTTTCATAATTGTAAGCTTGTTTCCAATTTATGAAATATTAACATCTCATATCAATGTAAGAAATTTAATAAATTGTGACTTATTCCACTATTGCAATATACATATAAGGCAAATATTGGAGTGAAAAATAGGACTTTGAATTTCTGGAAAGATGCTAAATGCATCAAAATCAGCTGAAATAGGGATAAGTGTGAAAATATTTTTATCGTTTACTCAACCGAACCAACATATGGTATTCCATTGTTTTTCCTTTTTTCGTTCATTCATATATTATTGTTTTTCAAAGAAAAATGGTAACTATACTCAACATTTGTAAGAAGGATTTTATTGTACTGCATTTAGCAATTACGACATAAATAAATTAACACAAAATACGTTGACCTCTTGTGATACAGATTATAGACTGTAAACGGCTAAACGCTGTAGTACACCTTCTCCCTGTTTACCTTTTCTTCTGAGGATTGAAACACTCTTCTAAACACAGGTTTAATGATGATTATGTACCTTTTAATGTGCAGATGCTCAGTATATATCGAATATATAGATTCTGTAAGACAGTATTGTGGATAATCAAAAGTATAAATTAATGGACTTACATCTGTATCAGGTTAATCGATTGCCTTTGTTAATAACAATCATACGTATTTCAATTTTACAGAAAAAATAAACAATGTAAAATCATCAAACTAAAGTGAGAAATGTTGACGCATTTTTGAAGCGGATATTATCAAGAAAAAGTTACAAATATAAGTGTAGATATGCATACACAGTTTTATGACATAGCGTCGGCACACAACGAAAAAACCCAGGCCAACAATGTTTTAAAATATAAAATCACTATCAATCCTTGAAAGTTTATCTGATCTGTGATTTAACTTATAGAATTATTTTTTTGCGATTGAAATTATTCAATTTTGTAAAATGTACTTTACAAGCTTTTTGACTGTGCTGGTGGACTGTCAGTTCTGGAGGTTACCTGTAGCCTTGTAGCTGAGCTTAATCTGGCAGGGTTTGACTGTGCTGGTGGACTGTCAGTTCTGGAGGTTACCTGTAGCCTTGTAGCTGAGGTTACCTGTAGCCTTGTAGCTGAACTTAATCTGGCAGGGTTTACATATACATGTACTAGTTTAAGCATTAATCATCTTCTGCAACCAAATGCAATAAAGCATTTTCTTTTGTATGTTTTGGAATGCTAAAGGGATGAACTTTTGATTCTGTTGATCTTAAGTTTCCCTGTTGAGCTCTAAACTGACAAAACAGCCATTTGATAAAGTAAAAAATATGTATTTTTTATACTTTCTTCTACAAAGAAGCGCTTTACTTCTTCGTATTTCTAGATTTTATCGAAACGAATAGACCAATAGTCACAAAAATACGAAGTATCGGTAACATCTTTACAAAACTGCATAACTATCATTCAAGAAAGCCAGGAATCAATTAACCTAATTACCATGCACGATGTTATAAAGAACCCACCAAAATTTGGTGATCATATCATTATTTATAACTACTATCTATGGACTTTATATACCAGCAGACCTAATTATAATGGATAGACAAATATATTACTACAAAATAAAATGTATGTTGATTTCATCAGTCCAATACGTACATACTCATATTATATCCATTACTAAATAGTTATTTATATATATAATTATTTTACATCATATGCATGAAGTCTAGAAATAAACAGTACTGTTCATTTATTTTTATGGTAACATATTGTCTAAAAAAGTTTCTCACGCTAAATATGTTACTGGTTTCTAATGAATAATTATTGACAGTAAGTAAAATCTTTATAATTATAATATCAATCCATTATGTCCATATATCTACCACCAATGGAGGCTATAAGCATGTTGTCCAATCCTTTTGACAGTGTTACATTCTTCTTTGTCAATAAATTTTGTTGAAATTGAACCCACCAGACTTACTGGACGTTTCCGGAAGGGCACGTGTTTCTAGCATAACATGTGGTGTCTGTCATGTTGCCGTACGCTTAATCAAAAAATATAAGCAGGACAAAAATAAGATTAAAACAAACTAACAGGCTAAAGACTGATCTATCAAGAAATTATTACATTCAGACTTTCAATTAGGAGTAGTAGATTAAGAAATAATCAACATATGTGCGTGTATTATTGTCTAATAAATAAAGGGGTTGAGCAAATATTGGGAAAATAAATAACGAAGGCCGATTATGGCCTGAGTTGATAATTTTTCCAACATTTTTGAACCCCGAGATAAACATTCCACTATAATATATAAGCATATGTTGAATATATCTATTCTATACGGAAGAACATTAGGGCCATGTAGAAAACAAATCAATTTCGTTTTTCCGTGTTAATAACTATAAATTTCAAGATAATAACTCGAAATTTTGACTTAATAAGTCTAAAAGTGTGGCTTAACGCCAGGTCGCCCCAATATATAAAAATCCATTTCTTTGAATTTCGAGTTTTTATCACGACATTTCGAGTTATTAAGTCGAAAACTAAATTATTATTTTTTCTACATGACCCTTATGCTCACCCGTAATTCTACCAAGTGAATTGTAACGAAATCCTTTTTCCTGTCTACCACAGTGTCCATACGCTTTTCATAAGAAAGGCGACCTAGATAACCTTATTATTCAAATTAGGTTGGGTTTTTTCGCCCGCTAACGTTTGTCAAGTGATGCCTTTCTTTCTTAGTTTCACAACAGGCTGCGCGTTTTTATTATTTCTGACCCCGTGGGCAGATGTCCTATTTAACCTGGTTTCATTTGGGAAAGAGTTTTGTTTTAATTTTCAGTCGCCATTCTGTCGAGAAACGATAAACAATAAACAATGACTGACGTCATGCTAGATGTTTATGAGCAAATGAAGAATTGCTAAATCGGTTTATGTATTCGATACTAGCAGTCATATAATATTATATTGAGTTGATTTTGGTCTTAGATACAAAACACATTCTGATAGACCGCATATCGTTGTGACAATTGTAAATATTTCATCATTAAAATACCAATACAGATATCAACTTGTCTAACACAATTATATTCTTTCCTCAACAACATTTTCAAAATTTCTTTAGAACAGTTATTATTTTGTCAACAGCAGTGATGTTGAAATCGCATTCGCACAAACCAATGTCGCTGCTGAACACCATATCAATGATCCCGCCAAGTTGTCGTAGCTCACTTCCGGTAGCACGAAGACTGTTAGGTGTCAGTGTTGATAGACTTTCTTTAGTGGTGTGATGTAGTACAATCATATATACGTCTCGACCACCTGAAACAAGTTATGCTTCTAAGTTTCATATCAACTTTTTTTTTTTTTTTTTTAAACAACAATGTGAATATGTTGACTTACTATTAACGATGTATTCGATGATTACAGTGTATAGAAGCGTATTATTTTATATTTTTAATGCCATATTTGCATTATAACATGCAAAGAAAATTACATGACACGGCAAGTACTAGTACCCGATATTCACGTCATCTTACAGTACTTCATACCAGGAAATTAAAATACTGATGTATGTGTTTCTCTTGCACCTTTTTTATGGATTGTTGGGATATTAATTTATCACGTGATGTTATGCTTTGTTTCTAAAAGTCTATGATGTGACGAACAACATGACTTGTTCGTGTAATTCATTTTGGTTGGAAGCCGAAAGAAAAAAATGTTTATGACAAAGTTCACATAGGCAATGATTACACAAAGCAAAGGTTTTAACAGAAATTTAGTGTGAGTTCATTGATAATACACAGTCAAGGTCGAGGTTTTAAAACATGCATTGATATCCGCAGTAATCGGGAAAACTTATTAGAAATAGCAAACATGTTTTTTAAAATCATGAGTAACTTTTAAATAGCTAATTCAGTGGAGCTAACTTTAGTACGTAATATACGGCGAATGGCGTATTCCTGGAGTCCAAAGTTCATTATGTATAATAACATGGTTATATTGGTTTCTTCTTAAAACTCTGCTGCTATTCACTCATCACTCATTTTAGTTTCGTCCACCGATTGGCTCTGTATAATTCAGATTATTCACTTCTGAAGAATTACCTTTCGGCCCTTCCAAGGCATCCGGAATATTTTTCCCGACCTTCGAACTCAGGCAGACTACAAACAAGGGCCCTTTGGATACATCTGTTGATGTCTCATGAAGCACAATGGAAAAATCAAAACTTCTCGAATCAGGTCTCCGGCCTAGCTGTCTCTTCAGCTCCTTGGTAACCATGTCCACCATTGTTTTCCCCATACCACTTTGGCTGGTACGTAGTAATTTCATCACTATAGCAACAAAATAACAGTGATACATTATTCTACCCCNAAACTAAATATCAATTGCAATACGAAGAAGTTATTGACGGTTAAAGTATATGATATTGCAGATCGAATTTTTGTTGTGTACTGTTTAAGGCCCTGTAAAGTTGTTGTATATTATATCATATTATTATGAATATACAAAACTTAAAAGGGAAACAGGAGATATACTTCATACAAAATACGGATAAATGCTATCGTTGGCCGTATTTAAACAGTACTTTTGAATACCAGGTTAAATTCAGAAGTAAGACATGGACGGCAAAATCAGCTTTCATCGGTCAACTTTTCTATTTTTCGGTAGGCAATAAAAACTTACCCAATACTTTCCTTTTGAAACGTCGACTTTCTTCCAACAGCGATTGTTCATCCTTTTTCACTTTGTAAAGAGAGTAAATACAAGTATAACAAGAAATTCAAAAGTAATAAGTTTAACAAATTATTCAATGTTTTTTATGGTAGTCAAACTATTTGATCCGAGGTGATGGAAGTTGATAAAGTGCTTTATTGCACCTCTGGTGAAGTATTTGTAATTATATCATGCAATGTGCTGCTACGGGGATTATTTAAGTACAGATGTATGATGTAGTGTATTTCAGTTTTGGCATTCTGTATCTATTATTAAATTTCAAAAGTGCAATCACATTCGTGTGTGTTAGGTTCTTCTTTCAAGATATGGGGTTGTAGACTCTGCTGCTTGAGTTTATAGTCCCCTGGGTTTGCCGTAACCTTGATTGCAACAATATTCTCTTGTAAGCATTTCTTTTCAATTCCAACCCGCTATTACTCATGAAAATAATATGGTTTGAAACTAATATGGTTGCAACCTCGAGGTGTTATTGTCCACACAGCCGAGCTTAGTTAAGAAATGAAAATGAGTACAAAGATAACACAAAAAAACCTAACACAGACATATATAATCAACACAAAGATTTCCAAAAAGCTGCATATACATATGTTCCCTATGAAAACAAGTGACCTTTGGAAAACAATCAGTTGATCCGTCCTTGAACTGGTATAATTTGAACCCCCGCTACCTAAGAATGCTTTCAGCCAGTTATCATTGGTATACAATTCTTTTAAGACAAGAAGGCACCTAAAGCAACATGGCCTAAATGTCATTTTAAGTCCCGCTTAGCAGTCCCTTCATTTGCACAATTTTGATTCGCTGCCACCTAGGTACATGTTAGCTTCCAGTCAAGTTTGGTTAAATTCTAGATTAAGAAAAAGAATTCGTTTTAAGAAATTATTGAGGGACGCACGGACGGCACGTGACGTACTGCATAAGCTAATGAATAAACATCAATATTATTGAATAGCATCGCCTTACCCAGTTCTCCTATCAACCTATCAATGCCTCTCTGAAGACCCTCAGTGGTCGAAGACATCTCGTCAATGGTACCTTTGAGGGAACGTGTCTTGTCCAGTATTGATTTTCTCTCTGTCTCTAGTTGAGATTTGTCTTTTCCATTTTCCTCATTTTCCCTTTGCACTTTGTCAAGCTCACCTTGCGTTTCCTCTTTTTGCACATGAAAGGTCAATGGATTTGATATACAAATTGTGAAACAAATCATAATAATATCCCTTCTAACAACGTATCTTATTGGATTGTATTGAATGCATGAGCAAGGTGCGTTAGCGTCATTGTTATCCTTGTGTGTTTTTTTGCTTAAATTACTATTGTCCTTTTGGTAGAGAAACAGAATTCTTTGATTCTACGGTGGTCGGGTGGTGCACTGGAAAGCGCACTTGCCTTTAACTAGACCGGCTGGGGTTCGATTCCCTGATCGGACGTAAAACGGTATGGGGTCATCTGCCCGACCACGTGGGTTTTCTCCGGGCACTCCGGTTTCCTCCCACATTAGGACCCCGAGCGCTAACATCCAGGCCAACAGGAGGGATTAATATAAGTTGTAAAATCTTAATTCATAATTGTTGTAAAATAAAATAAGATGTATCCGATAAGATAAATATAAGATAGTAGGATGTATATACAAACGTCATTGCACATATTGTTAACAATGCCATTATTAGAACAAAACAAAATGCAACTAATACAAATTATATAACTTATCAGTTATCTAGGTTTAAATCATGCTGCAAGATTAATCATACCGAGTTCTCCTGTCAACCTATCGATGTCTCGCTGTAGACCCTCCATGGCGGATGTCTTTTCCTTATTTGTCTTATCGAGGGATCCTGTCTGATCCTGTAAAGTGTATTTCTCTGTCTGAAGTTTTTTCTCTCCAACATACCCCTCGTTTTCCTCTTGACCTTTACCAAGGTCACCTTGTTTTTCCTCTGTTAGAAAAACAAATAGTAAATACAGTTCAAAGTTTCCACGCACAGTGTTACTTTCCTTCATTGTAAAAGTAAACAAAAATATACTACAGATATTATTTAGTAGTTTCGCGTATTACTTCATGTATTAATATGTTAAACGCACAATCGATCGCCCCATTGTGGGATAAAACACGCACATATGTGCGATATGAGATATCGTTTGATCGATATTACGGAATGAAAAATCCGGAAGGCTCGAAAAAATAAGTTACATCGTATATTTGTTTAATATGTATATTTTGTACTAAATGAATCCTTTAGTGCACATTTCATATCAATAAAACGACTGTAAACTATCAAGTAGGAGTACACAAACGTAGAAAATTGAATGGAGTCGATTGCCGATGAGGGTTCATCGATGATTGACAGTTGTCATGACACTACTTGATTTACCTGTGTTAATAATGTCCTTTACATATTCCTTACATTTTGCACAATCACGCTGCTTCTTCTCTTGTAACAGACTAAACGTTATATACTTATCATAACATCTGACATGCATACTGTATACCAGGCAATTTTCGCTGTAGTGTCATTTTCGCCTTTTTCAAATCTAACTATAAAGGTAAAGACAAGAATGTAGTTTTTGACGGGAAAAGAGAATGGTCTGTTTGATTTTATAACAGCCATCTTATTCTCAAAAACAAATCATTACAAACTTTATTTGACGGGTCTATACATTTCATATCAATTTCAAAAAATAAACAAAAACCAAATCCTAGACAGTATTAAAAGGCCATTATATGATTCTTAGCCTAATTATTGGAAAGCATATTCCTACCTTGCTCTCCCGACATTTTCTCAATGTTCTGCTGTTGAATCTTTAATGTAGATGATAATTCTTCATTGGTCTTATTAAGAGAGTATGCCTGGTCCTCTAGTGTCTGTCTGCCTGTCTGTAGTTGTGCTACTTCTCTCACATACTCTTCGTTCTCCTGTTGTCTTTTGTTAAAATCACCCTGCTTATTTTCTGTAAGCAGATGAACGTTTAAGTGTAGGTAAAATATTAATCGCTATATATGTCATGCTTATTCGTTCTATTTTTGAACATCACTAGAATCTCCTTCTGACTTTTGTCAAAATCACTCTGCTTCTCCTCTTTAAACAAATGTAGGTAACATATTAATCGTTACATGTGTCATGCCTTTTTGAAATTTCAATGATTTAATTATTATATTTCTACGTTAAAATTCACTATATTCAAGAAGTTTGTTTTAAGATGCAGAATAACGCATCAATAGATATGCTTTTGCATTTAGTACAAACAAACCCTTAAACTGATACAATGCCGGCATCAATTCTGAATATCAAAAAAATCTGTCATTTTGTTATGTAATTTGTTAAGTCAATCTTCAGGAATATTCATACCGAGTTCCACTGCCAACCTATCGATGTCTCGCTGTAGACCCTCCACGGTGGATGATAACTCTTCAGTAGTCCTGGTAAGGGAGCGTGTTTGGTCCTGTAGTGTCTGTCTGTCTGTCTGTAGTTGTGCTACTTCTCTCACATACTCTTCTTTCTCCTGTTGACTTTTGTCAAAATCACCCTGCTTCTTTTCTGTAAGCAGATGCACGTTTTAGTGTAGGTAATATATTAATCGCTACATATGTCATGCTTAATCGTTCTATTTGTTAAACATCACTAGAAGCACCTGCTGCATAATGCGTTGACAAACGGATATACTTTTGCAACAAAACCGTTACGCTGATAAAACGAAAGAGTCAAATCTAAAAAACAAAATCTGTTCTGTTGTTATGTCAATTTTTAAGTCAAGCTACAGGATTATTCATACCAAGTTCCTCTATCAACCTATCGATGTCTTGCTGTAGACCCTCCACGGTGGATGATAATTCTTCATTAGTCCTGGTAAGGGAGCTTGTCTGGGCTTCTAGTGTTTGTCTCTCTGTCTGTAGTTGTGATAGTTGTTTTACATACTCCTGTTTTTCCTTTTGAACTGTGTCGAAAACACCCTGCTTCTCTCCTGTATAGAGATGAAATTTCAATGTTTGTAATATACAAATCTAACATCTGTCATGTTAAGTCATTCTATGTTTAAACATCACAAGAAACACCTATTTAAATGCTTTGTTTTCTTATGCAGTATAACACGTTGACAGATACATTTTTGCATTTAGTACCAACAAAACCGTTACGCTGAAACAACGAGCGCATCAAATTTGAATACAATAAAATCTGTTCTGTTGTTATGTCAAGCATTAAGTAAATCTACAGGATTATTCATACCGAGTTCCACTGCCAACCTATTGATGTTTCGCTGAAGACCCGCCACGGTGGATGATAACTCTTCATTAGTCCTGGTAAGGGAGCATGTCTGGTCCTCTAGTGTCTGTCTGTCTGTCTGTAGTTGTGCTACTGCTCTTACATACTCTTCTTTCTCCTGTTGACTTTTGTCAAAATCACCCTGC